CTGCAGTGGCCCCGGGGGGGGTGTTGGGCCGTGACTCCGCTGTCGTGGCACTGGGGGGGGGGTAACAGTATGTGGTGGCACTGCAGTGGCACTGGAGGCCATGCCAGGCTGTGGTATCCCTCCCCCAGCACTGGGAGGGGGGCTGTGACATCACTCCGTGGTGCTCGGGGAGGATGCCAGGCTGTGATGTCACTCCCCTGGGACTGGGAGGGATGCCAGGCCATGACGTCACTCCGGTGGCACTGGGGAGAATGACAGGCTGTGGCATCACCGTGGTGGCACCAAGAGGGATGCTGGGCTGCGAGGTCGCTGTGGTGGCACTGGGAGGGAGGTGCCATGCTGTGACATCACTGCGGTGGCACTGGGCGTGCTGGGCTGTGAGGTCCCTACAGTGGCACTGAGGGCCAGGATCCGTCCCTCAGGTGGGGCGGCTGGAGCTGAGCGGGGGGCTGAGCCTGGTGGTGGTGGTGCCATGGGGGCCCCTGGGGGCACTGGGGACCCTGGAGCGGGCACTGGACCCCCTGGCCTTCCTGGGGCTGCTGTGGCGGGCAGCCCGCACCCCTCCCCAGGCCACCGCCCTGGCCCTGCCCCGCATGCGCCTCGACCTCGCCCTGGACGGGGGGGCCCCGGGGTAAGGCCACTGACCCCGGGTCCTGCCCCTGGCATCCCTGTTTGGGCTGGGTGGGCAGGGGGTGATGTCACTTCCCGCGCGGGAGGTGACATGCGGTGATGTCACTCCCTGCAGGATGTCACTGGCCCCTCCCTGGTCCCTATGCAGGTCCCTTTCCCCAGGGGCCCCAATGTCCCCAGTGCTCACCAGCATCCCCATGCCTTTGGTGTCCCCAGGGTGCCCCCATACCCAGGTGTCCCCCACATCGCTAGTGTCCCTGATGTGTCCCACTGCCCCCATGCCCCTAAAGTCCACTTCATCTCGGGTGTCCCCCAGTGTCCCTCTGTTACCCTTGCTGTCTCTGGTGGCCCCAGTGGCCCCAATATCCCCCATTTCCCTGGTGTGCCCATGTCCCTTAGCATCCCCCAGTGCCCCCCAACGTCCCCGGTGTCTCTGGTGTGCCCTTACCATTCCCCACATCCCTGGTGTCCCTGAGGCCCCGCTGTGCCCCCTCCGCACCCGTTGCCCTGGTGTCCGTCCTCAGCATCCCCGCGGGGGTGGCACTGAGGACGGGTGCCGCAGACTATGGGCTGTTCCTGGACGCGGAGCTGTGCGGGCTGGCGCAGGGCCCGGCGGTGGCGGTGGACGCGGCATGGCACCGTGCGGTGCTGGCGCTGGAC